TGGGCATACTTGTCTTGTTCCTTTTGTCAGAGGGATGGCTTTCAGTCTCTCACCCTTATGTATGATGTGGGCTGTGGGTTTGTCATATATGGCCTTTATTATGTTGAAGTTTTTCCTTCCGTGCCCATTTTCTTGAGAGTTTTTATCATAAATGGATGTTGGATCTTGTCAAATGCTTTCTCTGCATCTATTGAGATGGTCATATGATTCTTATTCCTCAGTTTGTTAATGTGGTGTATCACATTGATTGATTTGTGGATGTTGAATCACCCTTGCATCCCTGGTATAAATCCCATTTGATCATGGTGAATGATCCTTTTAATCTATTCCTGTATTTGGTTTGCCAATATTTTGTTGAGGATTTTTGCATCTATGTTCATCAGTGATATTGGCCTGTAATTTTCCTTCTTTGTGTTGTCCTTGTCTGTTTTTGGTATCAGGGTAATGTTGGCCTCATAGAATGAGTCAATAGTATTCCATCTTCTTGAATGTTTTGTAATAGTTTGAGAAGGATAGATATTAAATCTTCTTTGAATGTTTGGTAGAATTCTTCAGAGAAGCCATCTGGTCCTGGACTTTTGTTTTTTGGGAGGTTTTTGATTACTGTTTCAATCTCTTTACTTGTGATCGAGCTATTCAGATTCTCTATTTCTTCTTGATTCAGTTTTGGGAGGTTGTAAGAGTCTAATTATCCATTTCTTCTAGGTTATCCAATTGTGGGCATATAGTTTTTCATAGAATTCTCTTATAATCCATTGTATTTCTGCAGTATCTTTGGTAATTTCTTCTGTTTCATTTCTAATTTTATTTATTTGAGACTTCTCTTTTTTTCTTAGTGATTCTGGATAAGGGTTTGTCAATTTTGTTTATCTTCTCAAAGAGCCAACTCTTAGTTTCATTAATCATTTCTTCTGTTTTTTAGTCTCTATTTCATTTATTTCTGCTCTGATTTTTATTATTTCCATCATTGTGTTGACTTTAGTCTTTGTGTGGTCTTTTTCCAGTTATGTAGGTGCAGTTTAAGATTACTTACTTGAGGTTTTTTTTGTTTGTTGAGGTGGGCAGGTATTACTATGAATTTTCCTCTTATGACCACATTTGCTGCATCCTATAAAAGTTGGTATGCTGTATTTTCATTTTCATTTGTCTCTAGTTGTTTTTTAATTTCCCCTTTTATTTCTTCATTGATCCAATGGTGGTTTAGTAGCATATTGTTTAGTCTCCACATATTTCTGACTATCCCATTTTTTTATTGTAGTTGATTTCTAGTTTCATAGCATTGTAGTAGGAAAAGATGGTTGAGATGCTTTCAATCTTCTTAAATTTATTGAGGCCTGCCTTGTTTCCCATATATGGTCTATCTTTGAAAATGATGCATGTGCACTTGAGAAGAATGTATATTCTGCTGGTTTTGGATGGATTGTTCTATATACATCTATTACGTCCAAGTGTTTCATTTAAATATACTATTTCCTTGTTGACTTTTTGTCTGGATGATCTGTCTATTGATGTAAGTGGGGTGTTGTGGTTCCATACTATTATTGTGTTGCTGTTAATTTCTCCCTTTGGGTCTGTTAATACTTGCTTTATGTCCTTTGGTGCCCCTGTGTTAAGTGCATATTTATTAATAAGTGTTATGTCCTCTTGGTAGAATGTCCCTTTTACCATTGATATACTGCTCCTCTTTGTCTCTCTTTGTCTTTTTTATCTTGAAGTCTGCTTTGACTAATATAGGTATGGCAATGCTTGCTTTCTTTTGTTTGCTATTAGCTTGGAGTATTGTCTTCCATCCCTTCACTCTGAGCCTATGTTTGTCTTTAGATCTGAGATGTGTTTCCTGGAGGTAGCATATTGCTGGGTTTTATTTTTTAACCCACCCAGCTACTCTGTGTCTTTTGATTGGAGAATTCAATGCATTTACATTTAAGTGATTATTCATATATGACTGCTTAATACTGCCATTTTATTTCTTGTTTTCTGGTTGTTCTGTGTTTCCATTGTTTCTCTTCCTTTGTATTTCTGGCTGCCATTTCATTTTGTGGGTTTTCTGAGGAGGTTTTCTCAGTTTTCTCTCTTTTTGTGAATAGTGGCTCTTCTCTGATTTTTTGTTTAGTGGTTACTGTGAGGTTTGTATAAAAGATCTCATGCATGAACTAGTCTTTTTTCTCATAGTTTCTTATCTCCATTAACCTAACCATTTTCCATCTCTTTCCTCTTGCCCTTCTGAGTTACTGCTGTTACAAATTGTTCTGGTTTTAATGTTGTAAGTTTGTGACTACGTTGAAGTGTTTATCATTATTTTTGATGCTTCCTTTCCCTTTATCTTCTAAGTTATAATTGAGTATTTGCCTCCTGGTTCTGATAGAGAGCTACACTTTTCTGATTATGTCTATCTATTTATCCGCTTGCTCAAAGCTTTGTAGACCTTGCCTTTTTGCTTCCAGTGTGAGGGCATCTTTAATTATTTATTGTAGAGAAGATCTACTTGCAATGAGCTCCCTCAGCTTTTGTTTATCTGGGAAAGCTTTTCTTTCGCCATCATATATGAAGGACAGTTTCACTGGATAGTGTATTCTTGGCTGAAAGTTTTTGTGTTTTAGTATTTTGAATATATCATTGCATTCTCTGCTAGTCTGTAGGGTTTCCACTGAGAAATCTGCTGAAAGCGTGAGGTTTCCTTTATAGTTTATTTTCTTCTACATCACTGCCCTTAATATTTTTTCTTTGTCATTGGCTTTTGCCACTTTTACTATTATATGCCTTGGAGAAGGTCTTTTAGCATTGATGTAATTAGCCATTCTATTAGAATTGTGTATTTGTAAATCTGAGTCCTTTCCCAGGTTTTGGAAGTTCTCAGCTATTATTTCTTTGAGCAAGCTCTCTGCTCCTTTCTCCCCCTCTTCTTCCTCTGGAATAACTATAATACTTATATTTCTTTTCCTAATTGAGTTGGGTATTTCTCAACGAATTCCTTCTTTTTTTAAACCTTAGTTCTGTCTCCTCCTGCCCCTCTAGAATTTCTATATTTTTATCCTCTAAATCACTAATTCTTTCCTCAATAATATCAGTTCTATTTCTTAAGGACTCTAGATTATTTTTTATTTTGTTAGTTGTGTTTTTCATATCCAGAATTTCTGCTTGATTTTTTTATAGTTTCAACCTCTTTGGTGAAGAGATTCATTTTATTCCTGAGCTCATTGAACTGTCTTTCTGCATTCTCTTGTAAATCATTGAGTTTTTTTATGACAGATATTTTGAATTCTCTCCCATTTAGGTTGTAAATATCTGTGACTTTAGGGTTGTTTCTGGAGAATTGTCAGTTTCCTTCTGATCTGAATTTTTGCTGCAGTTTCTCCTGGTGTTTGATAAACTAATCTTTTGTTGGGGCATTTGTGGTAGTATTAGGTTTCAGATTCCACCTGTTACTGCTAGGAGGAAGCAGGGGCAAAGTTTCTGGTCCAACCTCATCTGCTGGAAGAGGTGGGGGTACTATGAGTGCTTGTGCCAGCCTGGGGAGTACTCAGGCACTCATGTGGACTGTGCTTTGTGGGTGGGGCTTCCCTCCAGGACCAAGGTAGGGCCACTCCTTGGAACCACAGGGGCACAGTGGGCTCCCCAGTTTCCCCACCCCACCAAGAAAGCAATCACAAGCAGGCTAAGGGCTGCTGCTTCTTCTTCCTACAGTTTCCCAGGGCATGTTCCCTCTTTTGGGGCTCAGCAGTACTATGGGCCCTCATGCAGGCCTGGAGTGCACTTACACTGATGTGTAGATCTGCTGCAGTCTCTTCTTGTGTTCCTGCAGGGCCACTGTACTTGGTGGGCAGGACTTCCTCACTGGGACCAAGCTAGGGCCACTCCTTGGGGCAGAGGGGCACGGTGGGCTCCCCCCCACCCACTGGAAAATTGATTATGAGTGGGTAAAGGGCTGCTGCAGCCTCTTCCTACAATCACCCAGAGCATGTTCCCATTTTCAGGGCCCTCATGCCAGGCTGGAAAGCATTAATGTGCATGCACAGGGCTACCAGGGGAGGGCAGGGAGTACTCACCTAGCTCCACCACTTTCTGGAAGGCCAGTCTATCCACTCACATATTTTTAGCTGTGTGTGTCTCTTAGGCATCCTGTTGTGCTGTGTGGGCTCCCTATATTGGTCAATGAATGTCCATTTAGTTTTAGTTCAAAAGGGAGAGGTACAAAGGGGACAGGTCCCTCCACCATGTTGCTGATGTCTAAGTGTAAGCTTTGGAACCCAGCTACTATGCTGCCAGATCCTGACAAAATAGGTTGAATATGATTGTCGCACAGTCATTAAAGTATAAACTGGAACTTGGTCTGATTTACCTATTACTGTTCCCAATACTGACTTAATATTTTTCACAGATATGTTCTGTGTGAGAAACCCACAGAGTAATATAAAAGCATCTTATGCAGTAGTCAACCCTCATGGAATTTTACAGACTTCTGTTCTCTCAGACATAAAATCAGCCCAAGTGGCAAAATGTATATCTATTATACCAGCTGTTAAATAAGCCATCATTCTTTTGAAATTTTTTCCAACTTTATTGAAGTATAATTTATATACAAAAGCCTACATACAAATAATCTATACAATTTGGTGAGTTTGGACATATTAAACACTAATTTTATCACCACAATATAGGCAGTGAAAATACCTATCACCTGCAAAAGATTCTTTGTGTCCATTTTCTGTGTGTGTGATAAGAACACACGAGATCCACTCTCTTAAACTTGCCAGTACGCAATACCTTATTACTAACAACATGCACTATGTTGTATGACAGGTCTATAGAAGTTACTCATCTGGTGTAACTACAACTTTACACCCATTTAATAATTCCCCAATCCTTCCACCCCTAACCCCTAGCAGCTATCATTCCATTATATATTCCTATATAGTTGACTATTTTATTTGCCTCATAAAAGAGGAATCATGTAGGATTTATTTTTCTGACTGACTTATTTCACTTATCCTTTTGTCTTCCAGGTCCATCCATCTTGTTGCAAATGGTAATGTTTCCACCTTTTTTAAAGCTGAGTAATATTCCATTGCATGTATCTACTGTATTTTTTATCCATTCATCTGTCAATGAGCATTTGTGTTGTTTCCATATCTTGGCTATTGTGAATAATACTGCAAGAAAATGAGAGTGCAGGTATGTCTTTGAGATCCTGATTTCAATTCTTTTGGATATACTGCCAGAAGTGTGCTTTCTGGATAATATGGTAGTTATATTTTAATTTTTTCAGGAACCCCTGTACTGTTACCCATGATGGCTGTAACAGTTTACATTCCCACCAACAGAGTACCAGGGTCCCCTTTTCTCCATTTCCTCACCAACACTAGTTATCCTTTGCATTTCTGATGATAGTCACTCTAACAGGTGTGAGGTGATATCACAATGTGCTTTAGATTTGCATTTACCTGATGATTAGTGATGTTGAGCATCTTTTCATATACCCATTGGACATGGGTATGTCTTCTTTGGAGGAACATACACAGTTGACCTTCCCTATCTTTGGATTCAGAATCTGCAGATCCAACCTACCACAGATCAAAAGACCTATGATGCTTGTTTCTGTACTGAACATGTACAGACTTCTTGTCATTATTTCCTAAACAATACAGCATAACATCTATTTACATAGCATTTACATTGTATTAGGTATTATAAGTTATCTAGAGATGATTTAAAGTATACAGGAGGAAGTGTGTAGGTTATATGCAAATGCTACACAATTTTATACAAGGGACTGGATCATCCATGGATTTTGGTATCTGAGGTGGAGTCTTGGGACCAATCTCTGGTGAACACCAAGGGATGGTTGTGTTCAGGGGTTCTTTTTACCCATTTTTAAATTTTATTTTATTTTATTTTAGTGAGTTGAGTTGAAATTTCTTATATATTCTGGATAATAATTCCTTATCAGATATATCATTTGCAAATATATTTTTTCCCATTCTGTAGGTTGCCTTTTCATTTTATTGCTTGTTTCTTTTGCTATGCAGAGCTTTTTAGTTTGATGTAGTCCCACTTGTTTATTTTTGCTTTTGTTGCCTGTGCTTTTGGTGTCATATCTAAGAAATTATTGCCCAGACCAATGTCAAGGAGCTTTTCCCCTATGTTTTATTCTGGGAGATTTTACAGTTTTAGGTCTTACATTTAAGTCTTTATTTTGGGTTGATTTTTTGTGTATAGTATAGGATATGAGTCCAATTTCATTCTGTTGCATATGGATATCCCGTTTTGTTGGTGCTATTTATTGAACAGACTATATTTTCCCTATTTTATATTCGTGGGACCCCTGTTGAAGACTGCTTAGTTGCATATTTGTGGGTTTTTTCCTGGGCCATGTGTTCTGTTCCATTGATCTATGTGTTTGCTTTTATTCCAGTACCATACTGTTTTGATTACTATAGCTTTGCACTGTAGTTTTGGGTCAGGAAATGTGATACCTCCATCTTTATTATTGTTCCTTAAAATTTCGTTGGCTTTTTGGGGTCTTTTTCAGTTCCCTATGAATTTTAGGATTGTTTTTTCTAGTTCTGTGGAAAATGTCATTGGAATTTTGATAGAGATTGCATTAAATCTGTAGATCCCTTTGGATCATATGGACATTTTAGCAATATTAATTCTTCCAATCTATGAACATAGGATAAATTTCCATTTAATTGTGCCTTCTTCAATTTCTTCCATAAACATTTTATAGTTTTCAGTGTACATATCTTTTACTTCCTTGGTTAGGTTTATCCATAAGTTTGTTTTTTTTTTTTTTTGGTGCCATTGTAAATGAGATTGTTTTCTTAATTTCTTTTTGGGGAGCTCATTGTGTAGAGAAGCAAATTATTCTCATATGTTGACTTTGCATTCTTCAACTTTACTGAATTCCTTTATTTCCAACAGGTTTTTGGGAGAATCTTTAGACGTTTGTATATATAGATGATGCCATTTGCAAACAGAGACTATTTTACTTCTTCCTTTGTAATTTAGATGCCTTTTATTTTTTCTAATTGGTTATTTGTTCTGGCTTGGATTTCCAGCATTATGTTGAATAGAAGTGGATTGAATTGGCATTCCTGTATTGTTCCTGATGTTATATGACAAGCTTTCAGCTTTCCACCTTTGAGTATGTTGTTAGCTGTAATATATGGCCTTTATTTTGTTGGGGTACATTTCTTCCATGCCTAATTTGTTGAGTATTTATCATGCAAGGATATTGAATATTGTTAAATGCTTTTTATGCATCTAAGATGATCATATAACTTTTATCCTTCATTCTTTTTAGTGGTTTATCACATTAATTGATTTTCTTATGTTGAAACATCCTTGCATCCCTGGGATAAATCTTATTTGATCATAGTATATAATACTTTTAATATGCTGTTGAATTTAGTTTGCTAATATTTTTGAGGGTATTTGCATTGATGTTCATCAAGGATAATGGCCTGTAGTTTTCTTTTTTTGTAATGTCTTCATCTGACTGTGATACCAGAGTGATGGTGGCCTTATAAAATAATTTGAGAGTATTTCCTCCTCTTCAATTTTTTAAGAGAGTTTGAGAAGAATGGTGGTTATTCTTTTTTTAAATGGTTAGTAGAATTCACCAGTGATGTCATCTTGTCTTGGGCTTTTCCTTTTGGGGAGATTTTTGGTTACTGATTCAATTCTCCTTACTTTGGTCTGCTCAGATTTTCTATTTTTTCATGATTAATTCTTGTATGTTTTATGTTTCTAGGAATTTATCTATTTTTTCTAGGTTATCTAATTTTTTGTCATATAATTTTTCATAGTAGTCTCTTAGGATCTTTTGTATTTCTATATGTCAGTTGTAATGTGTCTTCTTTCATTTATAATTTTATTTATTTGTCTTCTCTCTTTTGTTCTTATCTAATCTAGCTAAAGGTGTCAATTGTGTTTATCTTTTACAAAAACCAACTCATTTTTAAATATTTTAATTTTTTTCCTAGTCTTTATTTCATTGGTTTCTACTCTGCCATTTATTATTTCCTCCCATAAACTAACTTTAGGCTTAGTTTTTTCTTTTTCTTGTTCCTTGCGGTGTAAAGTTAAGTTAATTGAGGTCTTTCTTTTTTTCTTAATGGAGGTATTTATTGCTATAAACTTCCCTTTTAGAATTGTTTTGCTGTATCTCATAAGTTTTGGCATGTTGCATTCCATTTTCATTTGTCTCAAGATATTTTTTATTTCTCTTTTGATTTCTTCATTGACCCATTAGTTGTTCAGAAGTGCATTGTTTAATTTTCATATATTTATTAATTTTCCAACATTCCTCCTATTATTGATTTCTACTTTCATACTGTTGTGGTTGGAAGAGACACATGATAATCTCAATAATCTGAATTTATTAAAATGCGCTTTACAGCCTAACATATGATCTATCCTGGAGAATATTCCATGTATGCATGAGAAAAGTATGTATTCTGAAGCTTTTGTATAGAATGTCCTGTGTGTATTTATTAGATCCATCTGGTCTATAGTGTTAAGTCTGATATTTTCTTATCAATTCTCTGTCTGGATTATCTACCCATTATTGAAAGTGGGTTTTTAAAGTCAGCTACTATTATGCTATTGTTGTCTATTTCACCTTACAGTTCTGTCAATGTTTGCTTTATTTATCTAGGTGCTCTGATGTTGTGTTCATATACATTTATAATGGTTATATCTTGTTGAATTGGCCCTTTTATCATTATGTGATGACTTCTTTGTCTCTTGTTACAGTTATTTTTTTGTCTTAAAGTCTATTTTGTCTGATATAAGTATAGCCACTCCTGCTCTCTTTGGTTACTGTTTGCATGAAATATCTTTTCCCATCCCTTACTTTCAGCCTATGTATGTCCTTTAATGTAAGATGGGTGTCTTGTAAACAGCATATGGTTAGGTCTTGTTATTTTATCCATTTAGTCACTGTATGTCTTTTGACTCATAAGTTTCATTCGTTTAAATTGAAAATAATTATTGACAGATAAAGATTTACTATTGCCTTTTTAATTGTTTTCTATTTGATTTGTAGTTCTTTTGTTTCTCTATTCACTTGCCATCTTTCTTTGTAGTTTGATGATATTTTTATAGTTACATGATTTGTTTATTTTCGCTTCAGCTCATGTGTATCTACTGTAAATTTTTTCTCTGTGATTACCAGGAGACTCGCATTTAGCCACTTATAATTATAGCAGTCTAATTTAGGCAATAACAACTTAACTTCAAGTGAATAAAACATCACTATAGTTTTATTTGCCCTCCCCACACTTTATATTATTGATGTCAGAGTTTATTTATTTGTTTAAAATTGTGAATCCATTACAAAGATTTTTCGGTTATTGTTATTTTTAATTCTTTTGTCTTTTAATTTTCATAGTACAGTTAAACTGATTTATGTGCCACCAAACACTATTATGATATTCTGTATTTGTCTATGTATTTACCTTTACCAGTGAGAATTTTACTTTCATATGCTTTTGTATTTATATTTAGTGTTTATGCATTTCAACTTGAAGAAATACCTTAAGCACTTCTTGTAAGGCAGGTCTAGTGGTGACAAACTCCCTTATTTTTTGTTTATCTGAGAAAGTCTTTATTTCTCCTTCTCTTTTAAAGGACAGTTTTGCTAGGTTAATTTCTTGGTTGGAAACTTTTTTCTTTCAGTATTTTGAATATGTCATTCCCTTCTCCCTCGCCTGCAAGATTTCTGCTAGGAAACCCACTTGTAGTTTTATGGGAGTTCTCTTGTATGTGATGAGTCACTTATCACTCACTGCTTTCAAAATTCTCTCTTTGTCTGACTCTCACAATCTAGTTATAATGTGTCTTGGTGTAGATCTCTTTGGGTTTATCCATTTGGTGGACTTTAGAACTTAATAAATTCCATTTGTCTCTCCAAATTTGGGGTGTTTTCCACCATTTTTTAAAATAGAATTTTCTGCCTTTTCTCTCTTCTCCTTCTAGGACTCCCATAATATATTGTTTCACTTGATGTTGTTCCATAATCCTTTAGGCTTTTTTTTTCTCTTTTTAGTTCTTTTCTCTTTTTGTCCCTCTGACTGGATGATTTCAAATGACTTGTCTTCAAGTTCGCTAATTGTTTCTTCTGTTTGATTGAGTGTGTTTTTGAAGCTTTCTATTAAAATTTTCAGTGCAGTTATTGTATTCTCAACTCTAGGATTTCTGCTTGTTTTTTTCTTGTGGTTTCTATTTGTTTGTTAAACTTCTCAGTTTGTTTATGTATCATTTTCCAAATTTTATTCAGTTGTCTATGTGTGATCTCTTTTAGTTCTGTGAGCTTGTTTAAGACAGTTATTTTGAGTTCTTTATCAGGCTATTTGTAGATCTCCATTTCTTTTTTTTTCTATTTCTGTTTTTTTAAGTAATTTTATTGGCATTATAATGGTTTATAACATCATGTAATTTCGGGTGTACATTATTGTTTATCAATTCCTGAATACACTTCATCATACTCACCCCCAGTAATCTAACTTTTATCCATCACAATACATATGAGCCCCTTTGTCCCTTGCGCCCACCCTCCCACCCACTTCCCCTCTGGTAACCACTAAACTGTTCTCTTTATCTATATTGTTATCTTCCAACTGAGTGAAATCATGAAGTATTTGTCTTTCTCTGTCTAGATTATTTCACTTAACAGCATACCCTCAGTGTCCATCCATGTTGTTGCAAACAGGATGATTTCGTCTTTTTTTATTAATTATCTTGACCATTATAATTTTGATACTTATTCTATTTCATATCAGTTGAACAGGAAGCTTATAGTATTAGTACTTCTTCTTTTAAAAATGATAATCTCAACCTCAAGAAATTTTGAATTGATTACAGATTGTCCCAACTACGGGGCAAGCATTCAAGAATGCTGATTTTTGTCACAATACTTCAGACCTCCACCAATTGAATGGCTTAAATTTAGAAGAAATGAAAATTTCAAGCCCCACAGAGTTATCAATATTGCCCAAATTAAAGAAGCTTAAATATCACCCTTGTGTTATTGAATATACTGATGGGAAGAAATTTTAACCAATCAAGCTTAATACAATTATATTCAAATATAAAGTCCCTAAACTATAACACAAAACTCCAACTGTTCTCTTATATAGAGCCATTGAAGTCATCTTTAGCCATTGGAGTCCACTTTTTTTAAAAAAGATTTTATTTTTCCTTTTTCTCCCAAAGCCCCCTGGTACATAGTTGTGTATTTTTAGTTGTGGGTCCTTCTAGTTGTGGCCTGTTGGATGCCACCTCAGCATGGCTTGTTGAGTGGTACTGTGTCCATGCCCAGGATTCGAACTGGTGAAACCCTGGGCCACTGAAGCAGAGCACACAAACTTAACCACTTGGCCAAGGGCCTGGTCCCTTTTTTTTTAAGGAACATTATCCCTGTGCTAAAATCTGCCACCAACCTTCCTCTTTTTGATGAAGAATATTGCCCCAGCCAACATCCATGCCCATCTTCCTACACTTTATATGTGGGATGCCACTTCAGCATGGCTTGACAAGTGGTGCATAGGTCCATACCCAGGATCCAAACCAGTGAATCGCAGACTGCCAAAGTGAAATGTGTGAACCCAACTGTTGTGCCACCATGTTGGCCCTGGAGTCCACTTTAACAAAACTGAAATGGATGTACAGATGAGAAAGAAATAGCTCAGTCCAAATGATGAGGGTTAGTTTCTTCAAAAGTTCTAAAGTACATCATCCCATAAAAATGAGTCTACCCTATTTAAAACCTGGCAATCTCCAGTCCCCATACCTAAGGTTTCTAGGATTATTAAATGGACTATACCTTTAAATAGTACTACTGCTAATGGAGTCAATTCAATTTTACTTGTGTGTAATAGGCTTTACCATTATGAAAAGTTTTCATTTGAAAATTAAAATGGTGCCATGATCAAATTAAAATAAATTTACTAAATACCATATTTATAGGTAAATAGAAACTGGGACCACAATTGCAGATTCTATTGATATAGAAATATTGACAAGCATTTTAGTGACTTGGGACAACTACAGAAACACATAATTCAAATGCAAACAGAATGGAATCGAAATATAATACAGGATACAGCAGTAGATAAAAATGAGAATGGAATTGGGAATGAATTTGGAATTGGACATCTGGGAATTAAATCCTGCTGCAAAAAATATACCTAAAGAATTTTCACAAAGCTTCACCTATATAACTGAGAAACAACTAGTTATTCAACAACTACAATATATTCCTACTAGTGTTAAACTACAAGATTGTAGTTTTTCTCTCTTTGTGTCTTATAGTAAGATGTTCTGCTAAGAGTTACACCTTTGCATTGATAAGAGGTGAATGGCATCCTTTGGTCACATATTCATTCCAAATAGATCACTGGACTACTGAAGATTCACCCCAAAGCAGTTAGGTTTACTCATTTAGTCAACCTGAATATTGAGATGGGGTATTCTTATTGAATGACTGGTCTACTTGATGTGATCTTATGATAAAATCTTTGCTTATTACTTGAATCTGATTTGATTGATAGCTAAGGAAATTTTGATTCATTGGTGTCCAGATCAATTAATGTTCAATACTCATCTGGGTCTCTATACATGACTAGACCAATATCTCTATAACCTTAAATGGGATTCTAATAGTGTCAGGCTGCTTTAGGGTCACTGAAGAACTTTCAATAAATGAAGGATCATGCCAACAAAGATGAAAATGTGAGATTCAGTAATTTTTTCTTCCTATTAAACCTAAAATTGATTATATAATGGGGAAATTCACATATATGAATTTCAGCTCCCAAATATCATATTAATGCATTATTTTCAGTATAATGATGTGTATGCTATGAAAAAATCAAAGCTTCCTATAAATGAATATTATTCTCAGTGGTCTGATAGTTGATTTGCAAATCCTAAGTTTTACATGGCTTCAAATGTGTCACTTTAGGAGAGTTCATATTGCAATGGACCATGCCAAATGTTACTGGTATGGCATCCTTTGATATGTAGACAAAGGATGATAAATGGGATGTTCTTGTGTTTGCCTAAAACCACGTGAGTGGTTCTCCAAAGAAACCTGTGTTCTGTGTCATTCTTGTGTAGGGTGATCAATAGTCTATATCCTCTATAATAGGTCATTTTTTTGAGTACTGACCATATTGCTCCATTAAAGAAAGCACTCCAGAGACATATTCCATAAGAGACAGTTCCATGTTTTGATACCTGTCCTACTCCTGTACACCTAGATGATGACTACAGAGGAAGAGCACAGTTTGGCCTGCAGCTTTGGGGAATTAATGTGACTCAGATGCCTAGCACTAAATATGTTAAAGCTCTTGTCCAAATTAGTACCATAATTACCTAGAAAGCATATTCAAGTCCAAATGTATATATGTGGGGGTTGCCATGGCTTGGGTCAAGGATGAAAACTTATTGTCTTGAAGAGAGATGATAACCTGAAAATCATGATCAATAGGATTATGATGAAGATAGACCTAGGTGACAGTCTGGAGCGGTATGTTGGGAAATATTATTTCCTTTCTAGGCATTTTATTTTGGACTTGAGACAAGGAAATCTTAAAAGAAACTCATGCGAGCAGTCCTGTCTTTGTGCTCAAAATTAAAAAATGAATATTCATCCTATAAGCTTTGTTTAAGAGATTTATAATTCTTAACAGTAGGGCACATTCAGAGCTCAGTCCTTCACTGTTTTTCTCTCAATGTGTCTTTGAGTAACACATTCAACTAAGGCTTGTGACACTGCAATGATAATAGATATCTGGATTCCTTTGGTCACTGATACATTCCAAATAGACGATTAACTGTGGAAGATATACTCCTAAGGCAAATAGGTTTACACAGAAGGTAACCTGCATAGGGATATGGAATTTTTTTCTGAATGAGTGACTGACCTATGTGATGTGATTTTATGACAGTCTTTCATTTGAATATTAAATTAATAATATTGAAGTTCAGAAAAATGTTTGATATTCATTTATTTCTACATATATGATAAGATCAACATTTCTATAATTTTAGAGGATTCTAACTGCTTTGGGCTACTTTGACATCAGTGAAGAATTTTTCCATATCTGAAAGAACCTGCCATTGGAGAAGAGTTTTGAGGTTCAGTACTTGTACTGGTTACAGGATAAAATTTGAAACTTAAAACTGAGTATATTCATGAAGAAACATATATCAGAATTCCAGGTCCCACTGTAGACCCATTATTTCATATAATAAAGGGTATGCTATGAATGACACTAGAACACCCAATTTACACATTGAATTTATTAGTGTTACCAAAACGGCAATATGCATGTCCTTTTGTGGATCAATGATGAGAACTCATATTGTCTTGAAGAGAGATGACGACCTAAAAATCTTGTTCAATCGGATTACATGGAGGCCCAGTGAAGTTGAGAACTTGGGGGAAAGATGTTGGGGAGCCTTATTTCCCTTCGAAAGCAATGGAATCTCTAGAGGAAGTCTCGTGTGGCTCTGCCCTGCCTATGGGAGTCCAACAGGCCAAGACAAGAGTTTTCTTTCAGACTGCTTTGTGGGCCCTGATTCCGCCCCGAAGACCCTGTTCTCAGCCATTCCTTAGCTCCTCTTCTCTCATTGTATCTTTCAGTCAAATATTCTGGCTGGGCTTTTGTTGTGGCCTGAATGATCCCAGCTGAGTGGAAGTCATTGATCATTGAGGGAACCACAGACAATGTTGGACTGTGAGAAAGGCCAGCCATCTGGCCATACATAGTTTTGACCCTTTTCAAGAACCCAGAAGCCAAGAGAGCTTATTTCTCCTTGGTGGTCAGCCATACAGGATAAGATCTCTGGAAATTGAGAGCTTTGGCAACTCATATTAACTTTTCATGAACTCATATTGCCTTTTTTAAAATTTAAGTAATATTTGAGTTTTATTCACTTACATATTGTGTTAACTTTGGGATATAACATTGTAAAATTTTATTGTGTTTATCATTATATTTTGATTTCTGTGTAGATTACATCATGTTCACCACCCAAAGACTAATTACAATCCATCACCACACACATGTGGCTAATACTCCCTTTCCCTCTTCTCCTTCTCCCATTCCCTTCTGGTAAGCACCAATCCAATTTCTGTCTCTAGATGATTGATTTTTGTTGTTTTTACCTTCTATTTATGAGTGCAATCATCCAGTGTTTGACTTTCTTTCTCTGACATTTTCCTTAGAGACTAAGACCCTCATGGTCCATCCACGTTGTCACAAATGGCCAGATTTCATCAATTCTTATGGCTGAGTAGTATTCCATTGTTCATATTTTCCACATCTTCTTTATCCATTCATCCCTTGATGAGCACCTAGGTTGCTTCCAAGTCTTGGCTCTTGTGAATAATGCTGCAATAAACATAGTAGTGCATGTATCTTTTGGGATTGGTATTTTCGTGTTCTTTGGATAAACACCCAGCAGCAGAAAAGCAGAATCTTGTGGTTGTTCTAGTCTTAAATTTTTGTGGAATCTGCATACTGTTTTCCATAGTGGCCGCTCCAGTTTGCTCTCCCACCAGCAGTGTATGAGAGTTCCTTTCTTTCCACATACTCTCCAACTCTTTTTTTCCCTGCCTTATTAACTATAGCCATTCTGATGGAAGTGACATGATATCTTGTAGATTTGATTTGCATTTCTCTGATGGTTAATAATGCTGAACATCTTTTCATGTGCCTGTTGGCCATCTGTATGTATCTTCTTTGGAGAAATGTCTGTTCATATCTTATACCCATTTTTTAATTGGGGTGTTAGTTTTTTTGTTGTTGAGATGTATGAGTTCTTTGTATGTTTTGAATATTAACCCCTTGTCATATATTTGGTTTGAAAATATCTTCTCCCAATTGTTACATTATCTTTTAGTTTTGCTGATGTGCAGACACTTTTTAGTTTGGTGTAATCCCATTTGTTTATTTTTTCTACTGTTTCCTTTGCCCAGTCAGACATGGTACTTGAAAACATACTGCTAAGACTGATATCATTGAGCATACTGCCTATGTTTTCTTCTAGAAGTTTCATGGTTTCAGGTCTTACCTAAAAATCATGCTCAATACCATTGCACTGAGGTCCAATGCCATCGAGAATTTTGGACCCTAAAGTTGGGGATCACTTTTCCTTCTAGAGCTATGGGCTTGGGTCTTGAAGCAGCCAGTCCCTTGCAAGAATCTAATATTGCTGTACCCTGTGTATAGGCTCCTCATGACCAAGATAATTTTTATCTTTTAGTCTTTATTTCACTGGATCCATTTTTGGGTCCGTCCCTTACCTCTTTTTCTCTTAATGTGTCTTTCAGTGAAACATTTTGGCATGGGTTTCACCCTTGCCTGTATGATCAGACATATGTGGATGTCTTTAATTACAGTCATAAGATATAGAGAACATTGGACAATAGGGAAGGCCCACGTTAAAATAGTAAATAAGTTTGACTTCTTTTGAGAGCCTAAATACCAATAGATGGTTGATTTATCTTTTATGTCAGCACTATGGGATGCAATTTCTGGAAATTGAAAGCTTTTCATTATACCCATAATGGATCAAAGTGTAAATGGAGGAAATGTCTTCTTTAATTGCCTCCTGGTCAACATTCGCATTCATCCGTGTACCAGTTATGGCCAATAACTCTAATATGCTGAAGGAATGAGAAATGCTTGTGTCTGCTTTGGGTATGGGGACAACTTTCTCTAGGGAAGAATCATGCCGATGGCTTCAAGAAGGTGAGCTGCAGAAGTGAATCTCATTCATAGTCTTTGTTGAAAGACATTGTTGAGTATTTAGATAGCTGAATGGCAGCTCCTGAAGATTTATAGGACTTCCCCATGTCATTTTAAGGAATTGCTGGCTCTTGCCGATGCCAGTTCTTTCTAGTTGGCCCTTTGATCATTTAGCTTTGCCAAATCAGGCCACTTCATCCATTTTTGTGTTCTTCCTCTGCAGGTGTAACTGCCTTGAATGATAGCTTTCTCAGGAAGAAAAACCACTTTTTACTGAACTTTATGTTGAGGACTTGAGAATAAATTTTTCCATAGTTTCATCCCCACAGTGTGACAATATTTTGTGAATTATATTTGTTGACATGCCCATGTTGATATTGCAATTTTTGTTGTTGTTTCTGGGATGTTTTTGTACATAAATCGAAACTTTAAATTAATAGACAATGACTTTTTGTCCCCAACTTGAACTATTTCACAAATTTGTGAATAGAGTCAAAGTCAGCACAATTTCAATTTTGCTCATATCTGTCTTTTAAAAATGATTTTCATATGACTTCACAATTTCCAACTATCCATGTTAACATCCCTATAGACCGGAATAAAGGTTTATTCAGGTCTACTAATATTGCTTGATATTTGATGCTGCTCGATGCACACTGAGTATTTTTCTTCATTAAGAAAACTGTGTGCTCTGCCATTTTTGTTTCTGGTGAATATAAGGTGCACAGCCTTCATTATGGGCTCATTTTTGTTGAATCACCTTTATGATTCTTTGAGGAGTAGCATGTGTGAGGCACAAGCCCATGAGAAATGTAGTAGTTCATTATGACAACTATCCTACCCTGTTTACTGGATAATGACTCCCAAAAAAAGCCCTATTTGGCCTGCTGAAATTGAGTCAATTTTTATCTGTCTGGTGTCCAGCATCTGGAACTCTTATCCAGATTACACCCTGTTTCCGTAATCTAATCTTGGTAATCATATTCAGGTCCAGGTGCATTGGTGAAGTGAGAGAGCCCTGGTGGATCAATGATGCAACCTAATATTGTTTTGAAGAGATATGATGATCTAAAAATTATGCTCGATAGGATTATGTTAAGACCCATTCTCAAGAACAATCCTATGAGAGGACACTGGGGATCCTACTTCCTTTGTAGAACAATGCTATTTTGGACTTGACACAACAAAGTTCTTAGGAGGATTTTTTGTCTATGAGCTTCTCTGTGAATGATGCATACTCATACTTTATGCTTTGTATAGTGATCTATATATCGTAACAGTAGGGCTTTTCAGAAGTTATTCCTTAGGTCTTTTTATCTCATAGTCCCTTTCAGAGAGACTTTTGGCCAAGGATTACACCATTGCATTGATAATCAGAGATGAGTGAATTACTTTGATCTTAGACACATGTCAAATAGAGTATTAGACTACTACTAATGAGTCCTGATCTAAGGCAATAGGTTTTTCTTATTTAGTGACCCTGAATATCAATATGGGGTTTACTTCTGTTAGAATGTCCATCCTATGGTATATGATCCTATAAAAACTGAAATCTTTCTGTTTTACCTGAGATTGTTCAGATTACAAACTGAGGAATTTGTTTTTCCTAACTGGAACCCTGGCAACATTCTTCTCAATCTGTATACACATCAAAACCAATATTTTAATATACTTAGGTTACCAAAGCTGCTTTTCTTTACATTTGAGTCACAAAAGAACTTTCTATAACTGAATGATCATGCCAATGGAGTAGACATTGTGAGATTCAGGAATTTGCCTGGTCCATGGGTCTTATTTTGAATAAATTGTTATGTTACTGGTTATCTGAATTGCACCATATCAATATAATGAATTGCATGTCCTTGGTGATAACAGTTTTTCCTGATTGGCTGTTTGCTCTGTTTAGCTTCTCCAAATTGGGCCACTTGGCCCAATTTGGAGTTTTTCCTGTCCATGAGTGATTGCCTTAATGGATGGCATCTTCATGAGGAAAAGGCCACTATTGACTGAAATTTCATTGAAATGATGTTGAGAATTTTTATGAACCATCCTTTCATCTCCACTATGTGATAATTTCCTTCCCAATGTACAGAAGTACACATTTTCATCCTGATTATGTACGCTTATATGGTATTTTGTATTGTTTTTGTGATGGTTTTTGAAGTTTTACTCTTGAGAATCCTGAAAACCAGCATGGAGTTTACTTCTCAATGAGCAACCACACTACAGAATATGATCCTACAATGAAGTCACTTTGTTTTGTCTGAAACCAAGGGTGAAAATTGAAGAAATTTTTCCCTAACTGGTTCAGGGAAACCTTAGTCTATGTCTATATTCATGTCAAGGCTGTGTTTCTAATATATCATAGAAGATTATAACCTTTTGTGCTGCATTTGGGTCATCAAATAACTTTCTATAACTGAAGGACCACGTTAGTATAGTTGAGATAATGAGATTCAGTAATTTGCCCCGCCCAGGGGGTGAATGTTGATAACATTGTTGAATAAACAGATAGCTGAATTGCACTTCCTGATATCATGTGGCTTCACTAATTCAATATAATGAAGTGTATAGTTTGGGTGATGCCAGTTATTCCTTACTGGCCATTTGATTTGTCTAGATCACCAAATCAAACAACATTGGTTCCTTTATGAGTTCTTCTTTTCCATGAGTGATTGATGTAAAGGATGACATTCTTAATGAGGAGGTCAATTTTACTGTAATTTCATAAGAATGCTATTGATAATTTTTCTGATTCTTGGTTTCATCACCACCATTGATAATCTTAGCCCTGAGCACAAGAGTAGACATATTTATCCCAATTATAATATTTTCGTGTTGCTGTTTTTGTGATGACTGTGGGACATGGATGAGAACTGTTAACATACAGACAATGACTTATCAGCCACAGCCTGAAAACTCTCATACATGGGTTGAGAGGTTGAATGAAAGCACAATTCCAATTATTCTATCATCTGTTTTCTACAAAATAAATTTCACATGGCTTCATAGTGTCATTTTATCCAATTTGAAATGCGATGGACCATGTCAATGTTGCTAATATTGCTCCTTGATCAAATGTACCAGGAATGAGCAGTAAGATACTCTGGTTTTAGCATGACGCCTCCTGGTTGGTTTTCCAAACTCAAGAAACTTATGTACTTTGTCTACCTTTTGATTGGTGAATTAATGGCACACAGCCTCTGTAATGGATCATTTTTGCAGGAATGATCATATGGGTCCATTAAGGAGAAGCATGCATGAACCACATGCCCAATGGAAATGTAGTACTTTGTTTTGACACCTGTCATATTTGTGTTCACCCAGATAGTGACTCCAGAGGAAGAATCCTGTTCAGCCTGCTGTCCCCAGGGCAATCAATATCCGCCAGGTGTCCAGCATGCAATACAGCCAACTTTCATAATTTCCTGCATCCATCTTTGGTAAGCATAGTTAGGTCCAAGTGTGTGTATGCTTGGGGAGTCACACGTGTTGCATCAATTATGAGACCTCATATTTTAATGAAGAGCTCTGAATAACTAAATATCATGCTCAATGGGATTACATTGAGACCCACCCTAGGTTTACAATCCTAGGACAGAGTTTTGAGGTTCCTTGTTTTTCTTTTACAGATGCATTTTGTGTTGATCACTTTGTCATTTATAACTTTGTCTATGCATTTCAAATTGAACAATAACTGTCAGCTTTTTCAATGGTCAATAAGTTCTAATAATTTGACACATTTGGGGCTCATCTCAGCTCTTTTTCTCTCATTGTTTCTTTTAGTAAGGTGTGTGACAAGATATGCATAATAAAACTGATGAGATGTGAATGTCAGTGTTAGTCACAAATATCTTCCAAGTAGACTTTTGGGCTTATGAATATTTGCCCTAAGGCAATTAGATTTACTCATTTGGGTAACCTGAATATCCATATGAGGTTTTCTACTCAATGTGTGACTGAACTACTTGATTTGATCCCATGACAAAATCTTTAATTTTTACCTGAATTTAGTGTTATTGACAGTGAAGAAATTTTTTTTCTTTGGTATTCAGTCCAATGCGTGATATTTATTTGGATATGTAAGTAGATAGACCAATTTTCCTTTATTGTCACTAAAGGAATCTAATGATGTTAGGCTGCTTTGAGGTCACTGAGATAAATTCCATCACTGAAGGACCCTCACAGTGGAGAAGATAATGTTAGATTCAGAATTTTCTTTTTCCACAAATGTTAAAATTGAATCCATTGATGAGAAAACTATCTGAATTTCACTCCCATGTATCTTGAGAGTTCTTTATTTTCAGTATAATAAAAGCACAGTCTATGAATGATGCCATTTACTGATTGGCCAATAACTACCTTCACCAAATCAGGCAACATGTGTCCTGTTATGAATTCTTCTCATGAGTGACCAATACAGTTGATGTCATCCTCATTTTAAAAACATCACCTTTTACTGTGATTTCTTTAAATAATTTTGAGACATTTTCAGAGTGATAATTCTTGTCTCTATGGTATGTTATTCTTTAGTATAAATATAAGAGTAGATATATTCACCCCTCTTATTATATTTTCATTTTGGTCTTGTTTTTTCATATGTGTGGGGCACTGATGAGAACTCAGAACATATATACAGTGTCACATCAGGCGTATGCTTGAAATCCCTATACATGGGTTGTCCAATACACATGAGAATGAATACACTTGGACTTCTGTCTTCCAGTATGATGTGGAAAGTACTTGGAAATTGTCACCCTCATTGACACAATGAAGAAAAATATGAATAGATTGAAAATCACCAGTTCCTCTGGAATTCATTAGACAGTTGAAGACACAGGAAAGTCACTACCACAAAAATTACAAGGATTGTCTGTCAGATAGAGAGAATCACAACTTACTCCAACATTAGCCCAGGAGCAAAACCTCCACTGGAACTAGTATCAAGGTGGGAAAATTTACAGTGTAACTGACAATCACAATTGCTGGAGGCTCATTGTGAACAAGTTTAAGAGTTAAAAACTCCTGTGGGGACCTCTCTTAGTGGAAGCCCCATGCCTGTGTAAGTTTTATCTCCAGAAAACCTACCAGGTTCTCACAGTGAATACTGCAGAAAAATCCCCTACTGCTTCTGTCAGATGAAGGACCAAGGTAGACATTTTGAAACATGTCCAGAGCATTCTCTTTTTCTTTTTTTTCTTAAAGATGATTGGCACCTGAGTTAACAACTATTGCCAATCTTTTTTTCTCTGCTTTTTTAATCCCCCAATCCCACCAGTACATAGTTGTATATTTTAGTTGCGGGTCATTCTAGTTGTGGCACGTGGGACACCACCTCAAGGTGGCCTGATAAGTGTTGCCATGTCCACGCCCAGGATCTGAACTGGTGAAACCCCAGGCTGCTGAAGCGGAGCACGTGAACTTAACCACTTGGCCATGGGGCCGTCCTCTTTTCTCTTTTTCTTAATAAGGCCTGACTTCAAAGGAAACTATTTAACCAGAGCCTAACTTGTGTTTTACCAGAACAAATTAACCTGAGAGAAATAAATGCCCAACTTCAGCCTGCTATAAGCCTGCTCCATAAGGAAAAGAAAATGCCCAATCCAGTCCACGCTAGTCTTCAACGTAGGAGAAGGGAAATACCCAACTCCAGCACTGCTCCTGCCTTTCTGTCTTACTGAGGAGGCCAGGGGAGGAATTCTGAGACCCTCTATAAGGTCACAGCCTACTAGCACAATCTCATTAACAGATTAATGTCTAATCATAGGACTATAGAATGCTTCCCCTCTCCTCATACCTTACCACAACAGCAATAGGACTCCTTTATAACAACAGGACAGTATAATGGAAATAATGCACACCCCAGGCCTTAAGAAATCTCAGAAGGTCTTCCATGAGCTGGATTTTGGTGTGAGCCTCGCTATTATTTTTATGTGAGACCCAGCAACTAGAATGTGTTTGCACAGTTTGTATGAGAAGAGCAAGACAATGACTTCTGGTTTCGATATCCTTCTTGACAAATCTCAACATTGTGTTGGCTTTCTTTCAGCTATAGATAATGGCCTTGTCTTTAGGAAACAATCGGAAAAAACTCTTAGTTTCTGTTTTTAAGGCTGCAAAATTCCAATAAAAGTTAAAGAAGTACTGCCTGACTCTAAAAAGTCACAATAAATAATTTCCCACCTCTCTATATGTGTAGTGAGCTTAGTTTTTTGATTATAAAAAGCAATAAGTTCACTGCATAACTCTGGAAAATGAGAAAAAATACAAAGAAAACAAAACATTCATATTGTCTGTGTGTATCCGTATGTAGATATTTTAACATAATGGTGTCCATATCTAACTGTATCTAACTTACTTTTTAAATATATTAATAAGATATGAACATTTTTCTCCTGCCATTTATGTTGATCCTCATGTACAGAATTGTTTCTAGTAGATGGAATTCTATCATATGAGTGTATCATGATTTATTAAACTTTTACTTTACTGTTGAAAAGAAAAAGAAGTCTCTAGGGAAACCCAAAGACAAAAAAGAAGACAGGAACAGAGATACCAGATGAAATTTTAGCTGTGACACTTACAGCTACAGTAAAGTAAATACAGTCTAACCTCTAGCCAAATAAACATAAAAAACCTCACAATAAAGGCCTATTCACCTCAGTTCCTTTTACCCAATATATCATGCCTGGTCTTCAGCAAAAAATTATAAGGCGTACTTAAAAGACAAAAAATACAACTTGACGCAACAGATAAAGCATCAGAATCAGATTTATATACGGCAGAGTTAATAGCATTATCAGACCAGGAACTTAAAGCAACTATGATTAACATGTTGATGGCTCTAATGGAAAAGTGGGTGACATGAAAGAACAGATGAGTAATGTAAACAGCTATATTATCCTAGAAAGTGAAAGAGAAATACTTTCTCAGACAAGCAAAAATTGAGACAGTTTGTTACCAATAGTCCAGCCTTACAGTAAATATAAAAGGAAATTATTCAAAAAGAGGGAAAATGATATCAGTCAGACAATCAAATCTACATAAAGAAAGAAAAGCTTTGGCTAAGGAATAAATGAAGGTAAAATAGAATATATTGTTTTTATTATTCTGAATTGATCTGACAAATAACAGTTTGTTCAAAATAATAACAACAACAATGTGCTTTGTGATTGTAGCTAATGAATAGTGAAATAAATGACAGCAATATTATAAGGCTTGATGTCTTATTTCCAGAAGCTGAATTATACATGACTTCAGAGGTTTTATTTTATGAGAATTAATAGGCAAGGGATCATGGTGATTGTTATGGATATGGTTTTCTTGATTATATAGACAAGGGATAATCAATGTGATAATCTCATTTCTGCATGACGCCACCTGACTGGTTCTCCAAAGTCAAGAAACCTGTATATTTTTTCCTCCTTGTGTTGGTGAATCAATGGTCTACAGCCTATATAATAAATTATGTCACTTTTGGAGTCCTGACTATTAAGGAAAATCATGCTTGAGCAAAATAACCATGAAAAGTGTAGTTTTTCTTTTTGACACCTGTCCTACTCCTGTCCACATAGATAATAACAGAAGAAGAACACCATCTGGTCTGCTGCACTTGGGGCAATTTATACCAACCAGGTGTCCAGTATTGAATGTGCAAGAACTATAATTCACCTTAGAACAGTGGTCCCATTAATCCACCTCTGGTAAGCATATTCAACTCCAAGAGTCTGTATGAATGGGGAATGCCATGGATTAGATCAATCATGAGAATTTATATTGCCTTGAACAGAGATGATGACATAAAAATTGTGCTCAATAGGATTATGTGGAGGCCCATAATAGGTGACAAACCTAGAACTAGAAGTCTGGAATCCTTATTTCCTTCTAGGTGAATAATTTTGTGGCTTGAGACAATGACACCATTGTGGGAAACTTGCTTGGCCCAACCCTATCTGTATGCTTCTAGGTGAACAACAAATTATGATACTTTAAGCATTGTTTTAGTTATTTATTATTTCTGATAGCATGGAATATTTGCAATTCATTCCTTGAATCTTTTTCTCTCACTGTGTGTTTCAGTAAGACATGCTTCAAGAGATGTACCATTCCTTTAATAAAAGTGGAGTGGATGCCTTGGTTACAGATACATTCAAAACAGACATTGGACTAGTGATGATTCACCCTTATGCCTATTAGGTTTACTCAGAATATCAATATGGGTTTTCTTCTCAATGAGGGACCAATCTACTTGATGCGATGCCATGAAAAAATATTTGCTTTCTATCTGAATTTGATATGATTGAAAGTTGAGGAAATTTTTTTTCACTTTTTGCTTCATAGTATCCAGTCTGATGTGTAATAGTCATTTGAATATTTTTGCACAACTGGTCTGATCTTTCTATAATATTATTAAGCAGTTGTAATGGTACTGGCAGTTTTTGACTCACTGGTGAACTTTTCATGACTAAAGGATCATGCCAGTGGAGACAGAAATGTGACATTCAGTGGCCAATAAGTACATTCAAAGATATTCAACATCATTAGCCATCAGGGAAATACAAATCAAAACCACAATGAGATCCCACTTCACACCCACCAGGATGGTTATAATAAAAATGATGATGAGTACTGGTAGAGATGTGGAGAAATTGGAACACTCATGCATTGCTGGTGGAAATATAAATTGGTGTGGCCACTTTGGAAAGCAGTCTAGCAGTTCAAGAGGTTTACATAGTTACCATATGATCTGGCAATTCTACTCCCAGCTGTATACCCAAGAGAAATGAGAACATGTATCCACACAAAAACTTGTATTCATAGCTGCATCGTTCCTAACAGCCAAGAAGTAGAAACAACCCAAATGTTCATCAACTGATGATTGGATAAATAAAATGTGCTATAACCACACAATGGAATATGATTCAGCAATAAAAAAGAATGAATTACCAACACACGCCACAACATGGATGAAACTTGAAAACATTAAGCAAAGTGAAAGAAGCTTGTCACAAAAGACTACATATTATGTGATTCCATTTAGAAGAAAAGCCCAGAATAAGCAAATCCACAGAGACAGAAAGTAAATGAGTGGCTTTCTAGGGCTGGGGAGATTGGGGGGAATCAGGAAGCGACTGTTAATGGGTACAGGGCTTCTTTTTGGGGGTGATGAAATGTTCTAAAATTGATTGTGGTCTTGGTTACACAACTCAGTGAGTATACTAAACACCCTTGATTCTACGCTTTAAATGGGTTAATTGTATGGTCTATGAATCAGAGCTCAACAAGGCTGGTTTGAAGAGAAATAGATGATGAAAAACTGTAACTTACTGATCCTGCCTTTATTTAAAGTTTTTTTTTTTAAGGATTTTATTTTTTTCCTTTTTCTCCCCAAAGCCCCCCAGTACATAGTTGTATATTCTCTGTTGTGGGTCCGTCTAGTTGTGGCATGTGGGATGCTGCCTCAGCGTGGTTTGATGAGCAGTGCCATGTCCCTGCCCAGGATTCGAACCAATGAAACACTGGGCCGCCTGCAGCAGAGCACACGAACTTAACCACTCGGCCACGGGGCCAGCCCCCTTTATTTAAAGTTTTGACATTTTCTTCATCATAGATTTTTTTACATTATTTTTGCTTCAAAAAAATATATTGCATTAATATATTAAAAAAAAGAAATGTGACATTCAGTAATCTGCTTTGCTCATTGACTTGAATAAATTGATAAGCAAACTGATATCTGAATTATAAATCCCAAATTTCATGTGGCTACATTATTTTCAATATAATGAAAATGTATGCTATGAATACTGCCAATTGTTCCTGATAGGGCTTTTGAGATGAATAGGTGTACCATATGAGGCAACACATGTCCCATTATGCATTCTACTTCTCCTTGAGTGACTGACCTATTTTATGGCATCCCCATGAGAAAAACATCTTTTTACTGAAATTTTGCTGAAATCATGTTGAGACATTTTCTTAGTCATGGTTACTCTCTATGTTGTGATATTATTTTGGTCTAAATATAGGAGTAGACATATTCACCCTTATTATAATATTTTCATGTTGCTCTGCATTTGTAATGTTTTTGAGACATTTATGAGGACTCATAACATAAAGACTAGACATTTGACCACAAGTTGGAAATACCTGTACATGCATTTCTTAAACCAATACAGTGTATACAAATTCCATGTGGCCTGATCTGATCTGATTTCTACATCCTTAGATTCATGTGGCTTCAAGAATGCCAGTGCATTATGAGCATTCATATACAACACACCACACCAATTGTTATTGATATGACTTTCTTGAATATATAGACAAGGGAAGATCAATGGGATGCTCTTGTTTCTGCATGAAACCACTGGATTGCTTCTCCAAAGTCAAGTGACCTGTAAGTTTTGTCCTTATTAAGTTTTGTAAATCAATGGACTAAAATCTATGTAATGGGTCTTTTTTTGAGTATCGACAATTTTCCTCAATTAATGAAAAGCATGCATGACCCATACACACTGGAGAGACATAGTTATTTTCACACCTGTTCTATCTCTGTCCTCTTAGATGATGATATGGAAGAACATTCTTGGGCTTGCTGTGACTGGAGAGATTGATACAACCCAGGTATCCTGTAATAAATATGCCCTAACTCCAATTCACCTTAGCACCAGAGTTCCAGGAAGCCTTCATTGGTAAGTTGATCAGGTCCAGATGTATGTAAACATGGGGAGTGCCATGGCGTCAGTCAGGGATGAGGCCTTATATTATCTTGAAGAGAAATGATGACTTAAAAATCATTCTCAATAGAATTACACTGAGGCTCAGCTTAGATGACAATCCTGGGATAGATAATAGTCACTCCTTATTTCCTTTCTAAGAGAATTTTATTTTGAACTTGAGATATGAAACCTCATGGGTAACTTGTTTTTTCAACTTTTCTATGCACCTATAAATAAACAAAAAATTCTCATTTGTTAAGCTTTGTTTTGGTGATCTATAATTTCTACTAGTATATCATATTCAGGTTTCATTCCTTGGCCCTTTTTCTCTCATTTTGTGTTTCAGTAAGACTTGCTCTCAAGAGATGAAACATTCCATTATAAAATATCAATAGCTTATTTTGTTGACACACATATTCCATATAGAGCATTGAACTATTGAAGACTCACACCTAAGACAATTAGTTTTCCTCATTCAGGCAACCTGAATATCAACACAGAATTTTCTTCTTGTTGTAATCCTCATGGCAAAATACGTACTTTGTCTCTGAACTTCTTATGATTGAATGTTATGCAGTTTTTTGATTCACTGTTACCTAGTCCAACAAACAATATTCATTTGGGTGTAAATACATGACTGGACAAAAATTGCTGTAGTATTATTATGGGACTCTTATGGTGTTCTACTGTTTTAGGTCAGCGATAAGCTTCCCATAACACTAGTACCATTCTAATAGAGGAGAATATGAGAGTTCGGTAATGTGCTTTGCCTATGAAACTTAAAATTGAATAATTTGATGGCAAAATTTATACCCAAATTTTTGTCTCCTGAGTATCGTGTAACCCCATTATTTTCAGAATAATGAGAGTATATGCTGTGAATAATGACAGCTTTTACTTTTATGGACTTTGAGATGACTAGATTCACCAATTCAGTCATCATGGGCCCCAATATGGTTTCTTCTTCCCAATGAGTGAGTGACCTACTAGATGGCCTACTCTTGGAAAATGTTCACTTTTTACTGAAATTTCATTGAAATAATGTTGGAATATTTTCAGTCATGTTTACCATCTCTATGGTATGATGAATAATATTATATGTTACCCATGTCAAGAATCTTGTATGCTTTGTCCTTATGATGTTAATGCATCAATGGTGTAGAGCCTTAGTAGTGTGTCTTTGTGATGGTATGGACAGTGTCTCTCCACTAATAAATAGCATGTATAAGACAGTGTCTCTCCACTAATAAATAGCATGTATAAGCCATACACATGTGAAGGATTTATTTCTGATTTTGAACTACTATCCTATCCCTATCTTCCTAGATAACTATTGAGTAAAAGCACTCTTTGTACTACCATCCAAGTATACGATAGTGAGTCTAACTGGTCTCCTGCCACTTTTGAACCATGGCTTGAGGATGCCATTTTGGTAAATGTTTATAAGTTAAAGTGCAAGTATGTGAGGAGAGTGTCTTGAGGAGATGTGATGTCATAAAAATCATGCTCAATAGGATTATGCTAAGGCCCAAAAGCGGTCCAAACTGTGAAACAAGGTGTAGGCCATCATTAGATTTTTCTAGAGTGTTCTGTTTTGGGGTTGGTAGAAAGAAATCCTTTTGGGAATCTTGTTTCATCCACCTCTATTTATCTGCTTCTAAGAGAATTTTTTTATTCTTTTATCCTGATTTTAGTGTCTTTATTCTTAGTATTCATATATTTTAGAATAGACACATTTGCTTAGTTTTCCTCATTGTATGCTTCAGAATGTCCAATTAGCAAGAGATGTGCCATTCCATGGAAAAGATATGAGTTCTGCCATTGGTGATTAAAAAGTTCCAAATAGGCTGGGGCTGTCCCAGTGGTGTAGTGGTTATGTTCACACTCTCCGCTTTGGCACCTGGGGTTCACAGTTTCAGATCCCGGGCACAGACCTAGCAGCACTCATTGAGCCATACTGTGGCAGCATCCCACATAAAATAGAGGAAGATTGGTACAGATGTTAGCTCGGTGACAATCTTCCTCAAGAAAAAAGAGGAAGATTGGCTACATATGTTAGCTCAAGGCCAGTCTTCCTCACACACACACACAAATTCCAAATAGGCCATTTGACTGTTGAACTCTGGCCTTTAAAATGATTACATCCACTTCTTCATACAAAATGAGTGATGGCCTATTCTAAGTTGCCCTTGATTTGTAAAATTTAATACAACTACAGGTGGTCTGAAATCCTATTTCCAGATCCAGATTTTCCTGTGGCTTTATTAAGTTTATGGTAGTCCCCTCTTATCCATGGTTTTGCTTTCTGTGGTTTCGGTTATCCATGGACAACACAGTTCAAAAATATTAAATGGAAAATTTCAGAAATAAACAATTTATAAGTTTTAAATTGCACATCATTCTGAGCAGCATGATGAAATTTTGAGCTGTCCTTCTTGGTCCCACCTTGACGTGAATCATCTATTTGTCCAGAATGTCCACACTGTATATGCTACCTGCCCATTAGTCACTTAGTAGCCATCTCAGTTACCAGATCCACTGTCATGGCATCACAGTGCTTGTGTTCAAGTAGACCTTATTTTACTTAATAATGACCCCAAAGCACAAAATTAGTGGTGCTGGAAATTTTGATATGCCAAAGAGAAGCCATAAAGTGCTTCCTTTAAGTAAAAAGAATATATAGAGCTTAATATATATAATATTAATATATATAGAGCTCGGTACTATCCAAGCTTTCAGGCAGCCACTGAGGGTCTTGGGACATATGCCCCTCAGACAAAGGGGGGACTACTGTCTTATAAAGGAATATATGTGCTATGTATGATGCCAGTTGTTACTGATATGGGTCCTTGCATATTTAGCCAAGGGATGATGATGAGAAACTTTATTTATGCATAGAAATAATTTCTTGCCAGGTTATCAAAATACATGAACTCACATTCTTGGTCCTTACTGTATGTGGTGGATCAATGGCCCACAGCCTAAGTAATGGGTCATATTTTTCTTCAATTATTTTATTGAGGCTATAATCATTTATAACATTGTATAATTTCAGGTGTACAATATTATTTAGCAGTTTCTGTACAGACTGCATCGTGCTCACTACCAGCAGTATAAGTTTTATCTATCACCGTATATATGTGCCTCTTTACCCTTTTTGCTCACCTCCCTACTCCCTTGCCCTCTGGAAATGACTTATCTGTTCTCTGTTCGTATGTTTGTTTACCTTCCACATATGAGTGAAATCATGTGGTGTTTCTCTTTCTCTGGCTTAGTTCACTTAACATAATATCCTCAAGGTCCATCCATGTTGTTGCAAATGGGATAATTTTGTCTTTTTTATGCCTGAGTAGTATTCCATTATATATTTATATACTACATCTTCTTTATCCATTCATCAGTCAGTGAGCACTTGGGTTGCTTCCATGTCTTGGCTATTGTGAATAATGCTTCAATGAATATAGGGGTGCATAAATCTCTTTGAATTGTTGATTTCAAGTTCTTTTGATAAATGTCCAGTAGTGGGATAGTTGAATCATATGGTATTTATATTTTTAATTTTTCAAGAAATCTCCATACTGTTTTCCATAGTGACTGCACCAGTTTCTATTCCTACCAGCAGTGTATGAGGGTTCCGTTTTCTCCACATCCTCTCCAACATTTGTTGTTTTTTGTCTTGGTAAATATAGGTATTCTGACAGGCGTAAGATGACATCTCATTGTAGTTTTCATTTGCATTTCCCTAGTAATTAGTGATGTTAAACATCTTTTCATGTGCCTGTTGGCCATCAATATATCTTTTTGGAAAAATATCTGTTCATATCCTCTTCCAATTTTTTATTGGGTTGTTTGTTTTTTGTTGTTGAGTTGTATGAGATCTTTATATATTTTGGAAATTAAGCCCCTGTCAGATATGTGATTTGCAAATACTTTCTCCCATTTGGTGAGTTGTCTTTTCATTTTGTTCATGGTTTCCTTTGCCTTGCAGAAGCTTTTTAGTTTGATGTAGTCCCATTTGTTTATTTTTTTATTTTGTTTCCCTTGCCTGAGTAGACACGATATTTGAAAAGATGTTGATAAGACCGATGTGAAAGAGTGTACTGCCTATATTTTCTTCTAGAAGTTTTGTGGTTTCGGGTCTTACATTCAAGTCTTTAATCCATTTTGAGTTAATTTTTGTGTATGGTGTAAGATAACAATCTACTTTAATTCTTTTGCATGTGGCTGTCCAGTTTTCCCAACACCTTTTATTGAAGAGATTTTCCTTTATCTATTGTATGTTCTTGGCTCCTTTGTTGAAAATTATCTGCCCATAGATGTGTGCTTTTATTTATTGGGTTTCGATTCTGTTTCGTTGATCTCTGTGTCTGTTTCTGTGCCAGCACCATGCTGTTTTGATTACTGTAGCTCTCTAGTATATTTTGAAGTCAGGGATTTTGATGCCTCCAGGCTTGTTCATTTTTCTCAGCATTGTTTTGGCTATTTGGGGTCTTTTGTTGCCCCATATGAATTTTAGGATTCTTTGTTCTATTTCCGTGAAGAATGTCATTAGGATTCTGATTAAGATTGTGTTGAACCTGTAGGTAATGTGGACATTTTAGACCTTTTTTATTCTTCCAATTCATGAGCATGGAATATCTTTCCATCTCTTTATGTCCTATTCAATTACTTTCAATAATGTCTTATAGTTTTCAGTGTATAAATCTTTCACCTCCTTGGTTAAATTTATTCCTAGATATTTTATTCTTTTTATTACAGTTGTATATGGGATTATACTATTGACTTCTCTTTCTGTTAGTCTGTTATTAGTGCACAGAAATGCACTGGGGCCAGCCCCATGGCTGAGTAGTTAAGTTTACATCCTCCACTTTGGTGGCCCAGGGTTTTGCTGGTTTGGATCCTGGGCACAGACATGACACCACTCATCAGGCCATGCTGAGGTGGTGTCTCAAATAGCACAACCATAAGGACCTACAACTAGAATATACAACTATATACTGGGGGGGCTTCGGGGAGAAGAAGAAGAAAAATGATTGGCAACAGATGTTAGCTTAGGTGCCAATAGGGGGAAAAAAAATGTACTGATTTTTGTAGTTGATTTTGTACCCTATACAAACTTTCCTATAGTTGTTGATTATTTCTAATACTTTTCTGGTGGATTCTTTATGGTTTTCTATATATAGAATGATGTCATCCACAAATAGCAAGAGTTTCACTTCTTCCTTTCCAATTTGGATATCTTTTATTTCTTTTTCTTGCCTAATTGCTCTGACCAAAACCTCCAGTACTATGTTGAATATGAGTGGCAAGAGTGAGTACCCTTGTCTTGTTCCTGTTCTCAGAAGGGTGGCTTTCAGTTTTTCACCATTAAGTATGGTGTTGGCTGTAAGTTAATATGTGAGTTAATAATATGGCCTTTATTATGTTGAGATACTTCCCTTCTATATCCATTTTCTTGAGAGTTTTTATCATAAATGGATGTTGGATCTTGTTAAATGCTTTCTCTGCATGTAATGAGATGATAATGTGAATTTTATTCCTCATTTTCTTAAAGTGGCATATCACATTCATTGATTTGCAGATGTTGAACCATCCCTGCATCCCTGGTATAAATCCCGCTTGATCGTGGTGAATTATCCTTTTAATATATTACTATATTTGGTTTGCCAATATTTTGTTGAAGATCTTTGCATCTATGTTCATCAGCAATATTGGCTGGTAATTTTCCTACTTTGTGTTGTCCTTGTCTGGTTTTGCCATCAGGGTGATATTGGCCTCATAGAATAAGTTAGGAAGAATCTCATCTTCTTAAATTTTTGTAATACTTTGAGAAGGATAGGTATTAAATCTTCTTTGAATGTTTGGTGGAATTCTCAAGAAGCTGTCTGGTCCTGGACTTTTGTTTTTTGGGAGGCTTTTAATTACTGTTTCAATCTCTTTACTTGTGATTGGTCTCTTCAGATTCTCTATTTATTCTTGATTCACTTTTGGCAGGTTGTATGAGTCTGAGAATTTATCCTTTCCTTCTAGGTTATCCAATTTGTTGACATATAGTTTTTCATAATATTCTCTTATGATCTTTTTATTTCTGTGATATCCATTGTAATTTCTGTTCATTTATTTTTAATTTTATTTATTTGACCCTTCTCTTTGTTTTTCTTAGTGAGTCTGGCTAAGGGTTTGTCAATTTTATTTATCTTCTCAAGGAACCAGCTCTTGGCTTCATTCATCCTTTCTATTGTTGTTTAGTCTCTATTTCATTTATTTCTGGACTAATTTTTATAATTTCCCTCATTCTTCTGACTTTGAGCTCTGTTTGTCCTTCTTTCTAGTTCTGTCAGGTTTATTTTAAGATGGCTTATTGAGATTTTTCTGGTTTCTTGAGGTAGGCCTGCATTGCTATAAATTTCCTTCTTAGTACTACTTTCACTGCATTCCTTTAAGAGTTTGTATGTAGTGTTTTCATTTTCAGTAGTCTCCGGGTATTCCCAACATATGGTCTATCTTTGATAATGTTCCATGTACACTTAAGAAGATTGTGTATTCTGCTGTTTTTGGATGGAATGTTCTATATATATCTATTAAGTCCATCTGGTCTAGTGTTTCATTTAAGTCTACTGTTCACTTGACTTTCTGTCTAGATGATCTATCCATTGATGTAAGTGGGGGTGTAGAGGTCCCTTATTATTATTGTATAGCTGCTAATTTCTCACTCTAAGTCTGTTAATAGTTGCTTTAGATACTTTCATGCTCCTCTGTTAGGTGCATATATATTCATAAGTGTTATGTCCTCTAGATGGAATGTCCATTTTATCATTATATACTACCCTTCTTTTTCTCTAATTGCCTTTTTTATCTTGAAGTATGCTTTGTCTGATATAAGTATGGCAGCACCTGCTTTCTTTTGCTTGCCTTTTGCTTGGAGTATCATTTTCCATCTTTTCACTCTCAACCTGTGTTTGCCTTTAGAGCTAAGGTGTGTTTCCTGGAGGCAGCATAGTTTTGGGTGCTGTTTTTTAATCCATCTAGCCACTCTGTGTCTTTCATTTGAAGAATTCAATCCATTTACATTTAGAGTGATTATTGATATATGAGGGCTTAATACTGCCATTTTATCTCTTGTTTTTCTGTTGTTCTATGTTTCCATTGTTTCTCTTCCCTTGTATTTCTGACTGCCATTTCAGTTTGGTGGTTTTCTGTGATGGTTTCCTCAGTTTTCTCTTCATTTATGACCTGTATCTCTGTTCTGATTTTTTGTTTACTGGTTACCACGGGCTTTGTATAAAAGATCCTGTAGATGATATAGTTCATTTTCTGATGGCTTCTCATCCCCATTAATCTAAGTGGATTCCGTCCCTTTCCTCTTTCCCTTCTGAGTTATTTTTGTCAGAAATTCTCATTTTTTGTTGTGAGTTTGTGACTAAATTGAAGTATTTATAGGGATTTTTTAATGCTTTCCTTCCCTTTATCTTTTATGTTATAAATACGTGTTTGCGGTCTCGTTCTGATAGAGAGCTTCAATTTCCTGATTTTATCTGCATATTTATCTCCTTGCTCAAGGCTTTGTAAACTTTTGCCTTTTTGTTTCACATTTGAGGATATCCTTGATCATTACTCATAAGGGAGTTCTAGTTGTGGTGAACTCCCTCAGCTTTTGTTTATCTGGGAAAACTTTTATTTCTACATCATATCTGGAGGATAGTTTTATTGGATAGAGGTTCTTGTCTGAAAGTTTTTGTCTTCCATTATTTTGAATATATCATTCCATTCTCTCCTAGCTTGTAGAGTTTCTGTTGAGAAGTCTGCTAAAATCCTGATAAGGGTTCCTTTGTAGATTATTCTCTTCTGCCTTGCTGCCTTTAATATTTTTTCTTTGTCATCAACTTTTGCTAGCTTTATTATATGCCTAGGAGAAAGTTTTTAGGATTGATGTAATTAGGAGTTCTGTTGACTTCACTTACTTGTAAGCCCAGTTCTTTCCCCAGGTTTTGGAAGTTCTCAGCTATTATTTCTTTGAGCAAGCTGTCTGTTCCTTTGTCCCTCACTTCTCTCTGGAATACCTATTATCCTTATGTTGAATTTCCTAGTTGAGTCAGATATCTCTTGAAGAATTTCGTCATTTTTTAAAAAGTCTTAGTTCTCTCTCCTCCTCCACCTGAAGCATTTCTGTATTTCTGTCCTATAAATCACTAGTTCTTCTAAACGTCTCCTTCAAAACATCAGCTTTGCTTCTTTAAGGATTCCAGATTGTGTTTTATCTCATTCATTGTGTTCTTCATCTGCAGAATTTCTGTTGTTGGGGTTCTTTTTAGAGTTTCAATCTTTTTGGTGAAGTATTCCTTCCTCTCATTAATTTTATTCCTTAGCTCATTGAACTGACTTTCTGAGTTTTCCTATAAATCATTGAATTTCTTCAAGACAGCTATTTTGAATTCTCTGTCATTGAGATTTTAAATTTCTGTAACATCAGGACTGGTTTCTGGAGACTTAGCATTTTACTTCTGCTCTGAAGTGCTACTGTAGTTTTTCATGGTGTTTGATGGAACTGATCCTTTGCCAAGGCATTTGTAGTAGTATCAGGACACAGATTCCACCTGCCACCTCTGGTGAGGTGGGAAGGAGCTGCATTTTCTGAACACTGAGTCTGCTGGAAGTTGTGCCAGCAGGGCTCCTCTCCATTTTCCCTCTGGCCACAATAACTTGGCGGGTCACACATACACACCAAGGCACTATAGTGTGGGATCACTGTGTTGGCAGGGGACCTGCTGAGCTGATGTGCTAGATGGAGAGAAGGGGCACTTTCTCATACAGGGGCCCACTCTGCACTTTCAGGCAGTTTGCCTGAGCTGCTGCACTTAGTGGGGGCTTTTTCTTGAGGGCTGAGCTGCAGCACTTGGTGTGGAGCTTTCCCATGGGTGGGGCTGCCAGAGGACAGTGGGCACTCCCATAGGCAGAGCCACAACTCCAAAAGTGAAAGTGTTCATGCTCATGTCTGCCTGCCCCCTGCCTCCTCTTACAGTTGCATGCTGGCTGCTGTGTGAGGACCTGTAACCTAGACAGCTGCCACCAGGAAGAGGGGGAATCTTCCTACCTCCTTTCACTGTTTCCAGGGGATCCTATACCCCCACCTTCAGATGTATAGCTGTGTGGATCTCTCAGACATCCTATTGTGATTTGTAGGGAACCTCTGTTGGTTAATGAATGTCCATTTAGTTGTAACTTAGTGAAGAGAAACTAGGGAACAACTCACTCCACCATGATACTGACAACACTAATGGGTCATGTTTTGAGTATCATATATGTCAATCTTGTAGAAATTAGGAAGTACAAGCAGGAGCCATATACACATAAGAGAGGTAATCCTATTCTTTGTCTATAGTCTTACTCCTGTCCTACTACAGAAAAACTACTGAGGAAGAACACTTTTAACCCTGTTGCCCATGGGGTAATTTGTATCACCTAAGTGTCCTGCACTGAATATGCCAGCATGGAGTCCACTATAGCACCAGTGTTTAAGAAAACCATCTCTGATAATCTTATTAAGTCTAAGTGTATGTATGCATATGAGTGCCATGGCTTGGGTCAAGAGTGAGATGTTATCTTGAAGGGAAGTGGTGACACAAAAATCAAGCTCAGTTGGATTATGTTTAGGCCTAGCCTAGGTGACAATCATTGAATGAGACTTTGGATTTCTTAGTTCCCTTTCATGGAAATTTAATTTGGGGCTTCAGACAATGAAATCTTTCTGTGAAACTTGTTTTGCATACCTCTATCTATGCATTGCTAAGTGAACTACAAAAAAATTCTGATTCTTTAAGTGTTATTTAAGTTATCTATGATTTCATGAATATTTGGTGCTAAGACTTTGGTTATTTTTTCCTCAGTGAATCTTTCAGTAAATCCTACTGGCACTATTTTATTGATTACAGATGAGTAGCTGCCTTTGCTGACTGAGAAATTCTAAAGAAACAATTGGACTAGTAAGACTCACCTCTATAAGAGATTTACTCATTCATGCAACATGAATATCATTGTGGATTTTTCTTCTCAATGATTGGCTAACATATCTGATGCTGTACTCATTAGAAAACTTTTAGAAAATGTTTAATGCACTACATTCAGAGTTTAAATACACAAATAGATAAAAATTTCTTCTATAATATTAATACAGTAATTTAACAGTGCTGGGATATTCTTTTATCACTGATTAAGTTTTTATAACTGAAGGACCATCATAATTGTGGTATGAATGTAAGTTTCAGTATATGCTTTCCCAGGTTGAAATTGGATAAAACAATAACCAGCGTGGTATCCAATTTTCATTTTGATTGTTTCAATAAGTTCTGCTGGCAAGAGATGCATCAATCCATTGTTTAGAGGTAACTGACTGCCTTTGCTGAAAGACAAATTCCAAACAAATGATTGAGATATTGAAGATTTACCTCTGAGACAATTAGGTTTACTCATTCAGGCAACATAAATATTATGCATTTTTCTTCTCAATGAGTGGCTAACCTGCTTGCTGTGATCCTTATAAGAAAGCCTATGTTTTTTTTTCCTTTTTCTCCCCAAAGCCCCCCAGTACATAATTGTGTATACTTAGTTGTGGGTCCTTCTAGTTGTGGCCTGTGGGTCACCGCCTCAGTGTGGCCTGACGAGCAGTGCCATGTCCGCACCCAGGATCTGAACCAATGAAACACTGGGCTGCCTGCAGTGGTGAGCGCAAACCCAACCACTCGGCCATGGGGCCAGCCCCAGAAAACCTATATTTTTAACCTGACTTTCATTTGATTGAAATCTGAGAAATTTTGTGATTCATTGGTGCCATGAACAATGTGCAATCTATTTGGTTCTCAATATATGAGAAGGCCGTTCTCCCCTACAATCTCATTAATGGACTGTAATGGTGTAGAGATGTGTTTAATCATTGATGAACTTGTTATAATTTAATGAGTCTAAAAATTAGAGTGAGAATGTAAGATTCAATAATTTGCCTTGCCCATGAAACTTGAAATTGAATAAATTGATAAGGAATTTGATACATGATTTTCAGCTACTGAGTACTATGTGGTTCAGTTATTACCAAAATAATGAAATGTATGATATGAATGATGCCAGTTATTACTAATAAAGCCTTCAACTTGACTAGGTTTACCAATTCAATCAACATTAATCCTATTATGGGTTCTTCTGCTCAGTGAGTGAGTGACTGACCTATTTGATGGGATTTTCATGATAAAAACTTATTTTTCACTAAAATTGGATTGATATAATGTTGAAAAGTTTTGTGATCCATTGATATCATCTTTACATTGTGATATTCTTTTTTTCCAAATACAGGAGTAGGAGTATTCATCCGTATATTATTTTCAGGTTGCTATGACTTTGTGATATATGGGGTCATTGATGACAAGTTATAACATAAAAACAATAGGATCATAGACAATAGTTTGAAATTCATGTATATGTGTTGCTTTGAATTGTGAAATTGAATACAATTACAAGTTGTCTGATATCTGATGTCCATATCCTGAATTATACATGGTTCATTCTAATCAAATGTATACACAATGGTGGATGACATTTGTTACTGATCTTGCTTCCTGAATATGTAAACAAGAGATAATCAGTACAAAGCTCTTATTTCTGCATGGAATCGCCTGATATGTTCTCCAAAATATAAAACCTGTATGCTTTGCCTTTGTGGTATTTGATGAATCAGTGGTCTACAGCTTACATAATGGGTCATTTTTTGAGAACTGACTATGTTTGTCCATTAAGGTATAGCCTGCCTGAGTCATACAACATGACAGATTTAATTCTAATTTTGAACTACTGTCCTGTCTGTCTTCTTAGATAAGAACTACCAAATAAGCACACTTCTAGCCTGCTGCTACTATGGAAACTGACAGCACCTAAGTGTCCTGCATTAAATATTCCTGAACTTCAATCCACTCTAATCCTAGGGTTTAAAGTTGTCCTCCTTGATAAGTCTTTTCAATTCCAAGGAGATATATGCATGTGTATTTCTGTGACTTGGGCCAATTATATGACATCATATTTCCTTGAGAAGACATAATGAAATAAAAGCCATGCATATTAGATGCTATGGACCAAGACAGATGATGATTGTGGGACTAAGATTGTGCCTTCCTTAGATTTATTCTGATAGAATTTTATTTTGGGCTTGAGATAATCACATCTTTGTGGGAAACCTATTTTGCTCATCTATATCTAGTTTCATCTAAGAGAAAAGCACTTCTAGAATGGTTTAGGCTGATGTTAATGTTCTACAAATCTTAATTCTCCTGTTACTTTGAAGCTGATACCTTGGCTATTTTTCTTTAAACTTGTCTTCCAATGTCATGAAATGCATCATCCCTCTGGTGACTGAGAAATTCCAAGTATGCCATTGGACCAGTGAACTTGTCCCTACAGATTATTGATCTTATTCATTCTGCCACATGGATATCATTATGTGCTTTTCTTCTCAATTAGTGACTAACCTGCCTAATGGGATCCTCGTAGTAATAACTTCACTCTATACCAGAACTTCCTTTATTTAATATTATGTTTTGTGATCCATTGGCATCATCTTGATAGTATAGTATTCATTGAGGTCTAAATACAATAGTGCACAAATTCATTCCGATTATGTTGTTTCAAGGTTATGATATCAGTGAAGACCTACTCACAACCAAATGACAGAAGCAATTGTGGCCAAGGTTTGAGATTTGCTCATGATACATGAAATTAAATAAATGAATGTGCAGTTTTATATCTGATTCCCAGTCTCAAATTCATGTATCTTCATTATGCTTATTTCAATATAATGGGTATGCTATGGATGAAGCCAATCGTTTGGCTTCTTGTATGTATAACCAAGGGATTATCAATGGGAATTTTCATTTCCTTATGAAACAACTTGGCAGGTTCTGCAATGAGAAGAAACCTGTATACTTTACACTTACTGTGTTTATTGCATCAATCATCTACAATTTAATTAATAGTGCTCATTGTGAATGTGAAATATCTCTCTCTTGTCCTCATCCTGTCTCCTTAGGTAAAGATTACTGAGGAAGAGGAATTTTTTTGGCCAGCTGCCTCTGACTCAACTTTTACCACCCAGGCATCCTACACTCAATCTGCCGAACTATAGTCTACTTTTTAACCAGGATTAAAGGTTTCCTTCCTGGTAAGAGTTTTCAGGAACAAATAGATGCATATTTGTGGAGAGTCTTGTCTTTGGTCAATGATAAAATCTAATCTTGTCTGGAGTAGATTCTGAATATCTGATCTTAAGTGACAGACATTTTCTAAATTTCCTGATTTTGGTGCTCTTTAGTTTTTAATTCTCTGGCATTATTGGAGCTAATGCCTTAATAATTTTGTTTCTTATTATGTGTTTCTGGATGTCTTGTTGATAGGAGGTACACCAATCTATGATTTTATGTGAGTGATTGCTGTTGGCTGATTTTTCACTGGATTAGTGAAAACAGAGCCCTAAGATAATTAGCTTAATTCAATCAGGAAACATGAATATCATAACGAGTTTTCTCATAAATGACTGGTCTACTTCACAAGATCCTTATGAGAAATTTTTCACTTTTTATCTAAATTTGCTTTAATTGAAACTTGAGCAGTTTTATAATTCTATGGTGACATATATATTACACCCTAAAGACGTGTATAGACAAATTCACTCCTGTTATTTAATTTCAAGGTGGTAATAGTGTTGTGATATATTTTGACCATTAATGTACTACTCACAACTAAATGAACCAGGTAATAATGGCCTCAAGTTTGATATGCAGATATACACTTTGCCTATGATATGTGATCTTGAATAAAATACACAACATGATATCTCTTTTAAAGGTCCTGATATTTACATTGTTTTACTTCTTCCCTTATAAAGGGCAGAACATGCTCTGATCAATTATTATTGTTCCTAATGTTGCACCCTTGAAGATATATCCAAGGACTTGTCAAATTGTTATGGACAATAGTTTCCAGTGTTTAGGTCTTTCAATTCCTTGGTTAAATTTATTCCTAAGTATTTTATTGTTCTTGATGACATTGAAAATGGAATTGCTTTCTTAGTTTCTCTTTCAGATAGTTCAGTGTTGGTGCATATAAATGTGACTGATTTTTACATATGGTTTTTGTATCCTGAAACTTTACTGAATTTTGTTTATTAGGTCTAACTTTTTTTGGTGAAGTCATTAGGGGTTTCTATGTATAAAATCATGTCATCTGCAAACAGAGATCATTTAACTTCTCCTTTTCTGATTTGAATGTCATTTATTTTTCTTGCTGAATTACTCTGGCTAGGATTTCCAGTACTGTGGTAAATAGAAGTGGCAAAAGTTTGCATCCTTGTCTTGTTCCTGATCTTACAGGGAAGGCTTTTAACTTTTCACCATTGAGTGTGTTATTAGCTGTGCCCTTGTCATATATGGCCTTTATTATTTTGAGTTAAATTCTTTCTATACCTAATTTGCTGAGAGTTTTTATCATTAAAGAATGTTTAATTTTGTTAAATACTTTTTCCGCATCTATTGAGATAATCATATGACTATTACCTTTCCCTCTGGTAACGTGGTGTATCACATTCATTGATATGTATATGTTGACCTATCCTTGCATCCCAGGAATAAATCTCACTTGGTTATGGCATATGATCCTTTTAATGTGCTGTTGAATTCAGTTTGCTAGTATTTTGTTGAAGATGTTTACACCTATGTCCATCAGGGATATTCACCTGTAATTTTCTTCTCTCATCGTGTCCCTGTCTGACTTTATCAAGTTAATTGTTAATTCTGGCCTCATAAAATGAGTTTGGAAGACTTCCTTGCTCTTCATTTTTTTTGAAAGAGTTTGGAAAGAATTGGTTTAAATTTTTGTTTAAATATTTGGTAGAATTTATTAGTGAAGCCATCTGATCCTGGGCTTTTACTTATTGGGAGATTTTTGATTACTGATTTGATCTTCTTATTCATTATTGGTCTGTTCAGATATTTTATTTTTTCATGATTCAGTCTTGGTAAGTAGCAAATTTTTAGGAATTTATCCATTTCTTCTAGGTTATCTAATTTGTTGACATATGATTGTTCATAACAGTCTCATGATCCTTTGTATTTATGCATGTCAGTTGTAATGTCTCCTCTTTCATTTATGATTTTATTTGAGTCTCTTCTCCTTTTTCATAGAGAGTCTAGAGAAAGGCTTGCCAGTTTTGTCTATATTTTTCAAAATCCAACTGTTAGTTTTGTTGATCTTTTGTATTCTACCTCTAGTGTCTATTTTATTTATTTCTGGTCTACTTTTTATTATTTTCTTCTGCTGCTAACTTTGAGGTTGGTTTATTCTTTTCTACTTCCTTGAGGCATAAGATTAGGTTATTTATTTGAGATTTTTCTTTTTTTCTTAATGTAGATATACATGACTGTAAAATTCCCTCTTAGAACTGCTTTTGCTGCATCCCATAAGTTTTGGTATGTTGTGTTTCCATTTTCAATTGTTTTAAGATTTTTTAAATTTCCCTTTAAATTTTCTTTGTCCCATTGGTTGTTCAGGAATGTGTTGTTTAATTTCCACATATTTGTGAATTTTCCAGTTTCTTACTGTTACTGATTTCTAGTTCCTTACCCTTGTAGTCAGAAAAGATGCTTAATATGATTTCAATCTTCTTGGATTCATTGTCTTGTTTTGTGATCAGGCAAATGATTTATCATGAAAGAGTCCTGTGTGCACTTGAGAAAAATGTGTATTCTGCTACTGTTGAATGGAATATTCTGTATGTCTGATAGGTCCATTTGACCTAAATTGTAGTTCAAGTCCATTATTCCCATAATGATTTTCTGTCTGAATGATTTATCCGTTTTTGAAAGTGGGATATTGAAGTCCCCTACCATTATTGCATTGCTGTTTATTTCTGCCTTCAGATTTGTTAATAATTGGTTTATGTATTTAGGTCCTCTAGTATGGGTGCATATATATTTACAATTGTTATATCATTTTGATGATTGATCTTTTATCATTTATCTTAGAATGACCTTTATGTCTCTTGATAGTTTTTTAAAGTCTATTTTGTCTGATATCAGTATCGCTATGCCTACTTTCTTTTGGTCTCCATTTGCATGGAATACCCTTTTCAATCCCTTCACTTTTGCCGGTGTGTATCCTTAAAGTTTAAGTGGGTCTCCTGTAGGCAGAATATAGTCGACTCTTACTTTTTTTAATAAAAAAAAAAAAAAACAATTCAGCCATTGCATGTTTTTTGATTGGAGAATTTAAACCATTTAATTTTGAGTAATTATTGATAGATCAGGACTTACTACTGCCATTTGGTTTATTGTTTTCTGATTGTTTTGTCGTTCCTTTCTTCCTCTCTTGCTGTCTTCCTTTGTGAATTGATGATTATTTGTAGTGGTATGCTGTGATCCTTTTTTCTTTATCTTTTGTGTATGTACTATAGGGTTTTTTTTTGTCTTTTGGGTTTTTTTCTGGTGAGGAAGATTGGCCATGAACTAACATCTATTGCCAATCTTCCTCTAATTTTTGTATGTGGGACGCTACCACAGCATGGCTTGATGAGTGGTGTGTATGTCTGCACCCAGGATCCAAACCCATGAACCCTGGGCCACTGAAGTGGAATCAGTGAACTTAACGACCACACCATTTGGCCAGCCCCTGTACTATAGTTTTTTTTTTTTTTTTTTTTGCTTTGTGATTATCATGAAGCTCTCCTAAACCATTTTATAGTTATAATAGTTTACTATAACAACTTAACTTTAATTCTTTATAAAGGTCTACACATTTACTTGCCCCCATACACATTTTATGCTGTTGATGTCACAATTTATATCTTTCTATATCATGTATCCATTAACAAAGTATTGTAACTATAGTTATTTTTAATATTTTTTTCTTTTAAACTTTATATTAGAGTTCAAAATGATTTACACATTACTATTAAGTTGTTAGAGTATTTGGGGGTTTGTTTTTAAAATTTTTTTGTATTCATAATTTGTATTTTTTTATTGAGGCCGTGTTGGTTTATAACATATAAATTTCAGATGTACATTGTATTTTGGCTTCTGTACACACTGCATCATGTTAACCACCAAAAGCCTAGTTGCCATCCGTCTTTGTACACATGGACACTTAACCCCTTTCAACCTCCCCCGACTCCCTTTCCTTATGGTAACTACCAATCTGTTCTCCACAATTATGTGTGTTTGTTTATTTATCTTCCACATATGAGTGAAGTCATAAGGTAATTGTATTTCTCTAACTTATTTTGCTTAGCATAATACCTCCAAGGTCCATCCATGTTTGTCTTTTTTTATGACATAAATGCATAAAGAATACATCTTTATGCATTCAGCCATTGATGGGTACTTAGGTTGCTTCCAATTCTTGGCAATTGTGAATAATGCTGCAATGAATATGGGGTTCATATATCTTTCCAAAGTAGTGTTTTTGTGTTCTTTGGATAAATACCCAGAAATAAAATAGCTGGATTATATGGCATTTCTATTTTTAATTTTTGGAGAAATCATACTGTTTTCCATAGTGGCTGCACCAACTTACATTTCCACCAGCAATGTATGAGGGTTCCTTTTTCTCCACATCCTCTCCAACAGTTTTTATTTCTTGTCTTTTAATAATAGCCATTCTGACAGGTGTGAGTTGTTGTCTCATCGTAGTTTTAATTTACAATTCCCTAATTATTTGATGTTAAACATCTTTTCATGTATCTGTTGGTCATTTGTGTATCTTCTTTGTAAAAATGTCTATTCAGATCCTCTGCCCATTTTTTGATCAGGTTGTTGATTTCTTGTTGAGTTGTATGAGTTCTTTATGTATTTTGGATATTAAGCCCTTATCAGATGTATGATTTGCAAATATTTTCTCCCAGTTGGTAGATTGTCTTTTTATTTTCTTGAAGGTTTCCTTTGCCATGCAGAGCTTTTTGGGTTGATGTAGTACCATTTGTTTATTTTTTCCTTTGTTTCCCTTGTCTGAGGAGACATTATATTAAAAAAGATACTGCTAAGACCACTGTCAAAAAGCATGCTGCCTATGTTTTCTTCTAGAAGTTTCATGGTTTCAGGTCTTACATTCAAGTATTTAACCTATTTTCAGTTAATTTTTGTGTATGGTGCAAGATAATGATCTACTTTCATT